GGCCAGAATACTGCAAACAGATTTAGCTCTGGTTAAAAATGACAATGATGCGTTGAACCACTTATGACTGAATCTGACGCTGATGGTTTATGTAGAAAACATATCATGAAGCCCCCCTTATTCACTTTGAATTCTACAAGAAATCATTCAAACAAAACTTAATGGAGTACTCAGGATCAGTTACTTTAGTATGTCTGGCTCACAATGCCAACAAGAAGTCAGATCCCAGCTAACAAAGTTAACAAGAAATCCATTCAGAATCCTTTGAGGAGGTTTCTATTACTGTGTCTCCATTGCCAACGTCAATACAGCACAAGAATGTGCTTTTAAGTTTACAGTACGCCACGACAGCATGACGGCGGGGTTTACTGGAAGCTTTGTGACCGTTTTATCTTCACCCTTATCCTCACTAAGTCTTTTATTCCAAAAATATGATGGCTTTCTCTATTTAAAGTGAGCAGTGGGTCTGTTCCCCTGGCCTGATACAAAGTACTTACTTAAGATTGAATTCTCAGATGTGCTGTAATCTGCCAGATGTCAAGAGCCATTTTAAACTAGACTGCAGCTGCCGCAGTGACAGTGGAATAAAAAAAGCCAGTCAGAACACTACTCGACACTATTTGAAGGAACAAGTCGTGGACAAGAACTAAACTGACCCATAATAGGAAATAAAGTCTGGAGATGTTAACATCTGCTGCATCAGCGTTGACCATTCCTTCGACCTTCTTGCTGTGAGGCAACAGTCCTACCCACTGCACCACCTTGCAGCCCTCCTATTTATATAAATTCTTTAATAATAGTTAATGTTCTGTCTTGTTGCACTGCTTTATCTTTTGCCAGTGTGCTTTAGAAACCACAACAAGGTAAATAAATAAAGTATGATTAACTTTTGCACACAAGGAATTACTCCATGTATCATTTGTTCTTTTCAAATACAATTGAAACTCATCCATCCATTATCTACACACCGCTCAATCCTCACTAGGGTCGTGGGGGGCTGGAGCCTATCCCAGCTGACTCAGGGTGAAGACAGGAGACACCCTGGACAGGTCACCAGTCTATCACAGGGCTGCACTTAGAGACAGACAACCAAGCACACTCACATTCACACCTACGAACAGTTTAGAATCACCAATTAACCTCAACATGTTTTTGGACTGTGTGGGAGGAAGCCGGAGAACCCAGAGAGAACCCATGCTGCACGGGGAGAACATGCAAACTCCTCACAGAAAGATCCCAGGTGTCCTAACCGGGAGGCAAACCAGGGATCCTGTAGCTGTGAGGCAACGATGTTAACCACACAGCCACTGTGCAGCCCCTAACTGAAATCCAAAAATGCTGAAATGAAAAAACAGNAAATTAAAAATTAAAAACCAAAACTGTTTTGTTCAGCTTTCATCAGGAATATCATGTTACTCTGAGCTGACACTTTGGATCACATCTTACTTTAAAAATTAATTTCACGAGTTGGTCTATCTTTAGATGACACACGATCAGTGTTGGAAAAGTGATGATGCTTTTACTCATACGTCAGTAATACCAAGGAGGCCTCACAGGTTCAAGAGCCTACCTGTCAGCATGTATTGGTAAGCGTTGTCAGAGATGGAGAAGATGTGCGGGGGGGCCTCCTGACGTTTCTTTCCTCGGTACCCGGCCACCACCTCCGGGTTGTAGACCGGAAGCCACTTGTAAGGATTCACAGTCACACAGAAGAGCCCCGAGTAGGTCTGTGAATAAATAGTACAGGGAGAGAAATCAGGATACACAAGTGATTACTCAAGTTGTCACATGTGGTGCCTAACTTGTTCTGTCCTGTATCAAAAGTCCCACACAAAAAATAATCTTTTTATTTTTTATAACAAATGTGTGAATTGGTTAAAATATCCACATTCACAGCAGCCTTACATAAATCATCCAGGCAGCGTAGCGCTCCTTAAGGTTAAAGAGCACAGCTGGCTCGTGGAGATGCGTCAGCAGGGCCATGTCCTCGATCTTGTCAAACTTAGGAGGGTTCATGGGCCGAATGTCATCCAGATGCACACTGACAACCTGAAGTGTGATTTCAAACAGCACCAGGATAGGAGATGTCAGAATTCTTCAAATCAAAGCCTATAAATTATGTCTCAAACTACACCCACCTTTCCTCCTTCGGTCTCCACAGTGGCTGCGGAGCCGTCTTGGCTTTTGATTTTTCCTTTGACATATTCCTGCTTCGGGTCGGGCACGAAGACGGCTGCTTTGGCATCAAACGGCATATTCTGGGCTGCGATCCTCTCCCGTTCTGATTTGCGGAGGTATGGGGCAGCGACCCCAAATATCTCCATCTCTGCGTCACTCATTTTGTCGAGCTGCATGATGGGGACAAACGAATGTGCTCACAAAATATGATTAATTAACAAATTAAACAGGAGCAGATGAAAAGTTGACTGTGGCACCGTACTCACCTGACTTCTTCAGACCAAAATGAAAAGTCGCTTCAAGTGTTTCAGAGCCTTTGAAGAAAATACTCCAGTCTGTACTGTTAATTGCTCCAACACTACACCACAGACATATCTCACCGTAACGAGACTTTGACAGCTTTTATAAGCGATGGCCAGTCCTGCTTCACGGCTGCTTCCTCTCCTATATTAGGAGATCTGGCTTCTACGCCACCTTGGTAAAGTCAAGTATGTCCATTTTGTATTTCAAACTGTCTATGTATAGCTGTATTGTGTCACTTTTAAAAGGTTTCAATTTTAATCCTTCAGACTGTCCATTAAAAAGCGATGAATGCTAAGGACGACAGCTTAGAGGGCTTACGGCCCCGACACGGCAGGCCTCATTTTCTGGGATCAGGGAAGATTAGGTCGGTTAGGGCATCGCTGAAATTCTGGCATTGGCTGTCTGGAGAACAGAGTCGATCACACACGACTGTTTGGGTTTGTGTGGGGGGGGGCAGCCGGGGTTGAGGGGTAACATTTAGCACATTCCAGACAGAGCACTGCTTCTATTAACCCACATTTATTACAGATTTGGCAATAGAAGAAATATAGTTTTGGTCCACATGCCCCACCGGTTGTTCGATGTCAGTCCGAAGTCTGCTGTTTGATGTGTTCATCTATATTTGTTGTGACTTTACCTGTTGTGTTTGTATGTTTCTAACATGAGTTTCAATCTATATTTGTTTGTCTGTTAAAAGCTAATGATTTTCACATGCATGGCTTTTGTCTCATCTTTTACTTTTAGCTTCATATTAAAAAAATGATTTGGCAGAATAATGTCAATTATTGTGACGTAAAGCCTCTGTAGACAATTGGCAGAAAACATGACATGTGTTAATTGGTTTTTAACTGTCAAATTCAATGAGTCCGAGCCAAGCTAGCAGTTGGCTCTATGGCATAGAGTCGCTCTGCTAATCTGGCCGTTCCTTTTGGTTCCGTCCAAAACATTGTTTCTAGTTCTGGATGGATTGGCACATCTTATAACATGTATGTCAGTCAGGCAAGAAAGACGTCAAGAACACCTTTAAAGGGAAGCCAGTCCAGAGCATCATCACCACTGGTTGTCTGTCTCTAAGTGTAGCCCTGTGATAGACTGGTGACCTGTCCAGGGTGTC